GGCATGACCTTAAGAGAGCGATTCACACCAGACATCCCAAGAATATTGCTACACTGAAACAGTTTTGTGAAGAGGAGTGGTCCAAAATGACTCCAGATCATTGTGCAGGTCTGATCTGCAACTACATGAAACGTTTGGTTGAGGTTATTGCTGCCAAAGGAGGGTCAACCAGTTATTAAGTCCAAAGGTTCACATACTTTTTCCTCCCTGCACTGTGAATGTTTACATGTTATGTGCAATTAAACCATGGCAACATCTAATGTTTGTGTAGTATTATGTTCAGCAGACTGTGTTCTTCTATTGTTGTGACTTAGATGACGTTCAGAGCACATTTTATGCCCAATTCATGCAAAACTCCACATAATCCCAAGGGGTTCACATACTTTTTCTTGCAACTGTACTTATACCTGCACTATGAATGTTTTTTATTTTATTTATTTCAGGTACATATATAGCGCCATCAATTTACGCAGCGCTTTACATATATATATTGTACATTCACATCAGTCCCTAACCCTCAAGGGGCGTACAATCTCAGGTCTCTAACTCACATTCATACATACACATATTAGGGCCAATTTAACAGGATCCAAATAATCTACCAGCATGACTTTGGGGTGTGGGAGGAAATGGGAGTACCCAGAGGAAACCCACGCAAGCACAGGGAGAACATGCAAACTCCAGGCAGGTGGTGCTGTGGTTGGGATTTGAACCAACGACCCTAGTACTGCCAGGCGGAAGTGTTAACCATTTAACCACTGTGCTGTCCAATAATTGGAAGAGGGTGTCATTTCTGAGTGTCGTCTGGCTGTCTATGACTTCAACATAAAAAAGCATGCAGCAAATAAGGCAATAACTCCTGCTCTTCATATTTGTTTCAAGTCAGAAACTTCAGAAACCAAAAAAGAACTGATCTTCAGTGGACATTTTAATAATATGAGTCATAACGATTGAATTATATTAATAGTGCAGTCTTGCCTCTAGTATTACTAGAATCTTTATTGCAGCCTTACTCAAAACAGAGGAACACTTGAAATAACTTTCTGGTCTCAGGGAACCCCTGATAAAAATTATTATATCTACAACTCATGATATGTTAGTGGGATGGTCAGTGGGAAGAATGCTCCTCACACTTGTATTCATTGGGAAGAATGACCCCCTAACAGATAGATAAAAAGATCTATGGTGCCAGTAAGAACTTTTTTGAGAGGCAGAAACTGCTCATTGTTCAGGGAACCCCTATCAACCTCTGGAGGAACCCTAGAGTTCCACAGAACCCTGGTTGAGAAATGTTACTTTATTGTTTACTTGGATTATCTCCTTGTTAGGCTGAATGTCAGGGCTATACATCTGTCCTTTCCATTGTCCAAGTGTCAGGCAAAGGGTCAGACTGTAAGGCTGTCCTATCACTTGCCAGTTCTCATAAAAGCAAAGTAACAAGGGTACAATTAGGATTACATGAAAATAAATAAATAATGTGTTGGTTTTTTTTTCCCCACCTCCAGTAGCTTGGACAGAGATTTATTATCCCTAAGTAGGTTAAAGAATAGCCTCCATAGGTGCCAAACAGCCTACAAACCAGCTACCATTTCTGCTCAGTAGTAAAAAAATAACACATGCCGCTCTGTGAGGGGTAAGTCTACGACTAAAATGTACAGATTCAGATCTACAGCAGACAAGGCTCTTTCCCAGGGGGCAGACTGACCATTTGAAAACTCGGGCACTGCCCGTGGGCCCGGGGTCATTCGGGGGCCCCATGAGATGCCCCGGTACCTTTTTCATAGGCTTTTTTGAGTTTGGGCAAGGACACAGGGGCCCCATGATCCCCTATTGCTTGGGGGCCCCATGAGTTGTCAGTCCGCCCCTGCTCTTTCCCGACCAGTTCAATTAAAGTTATTGAATCGGCTAGAACATTTTTCAAAAGGGAACACCGGCAAAAGCGTTCATAGGCAAAAAAATATAGATATACTGGAGCACTATGAAATAGTTTTATTGTATTGGAAGATACTGAGTGGAGTTCCTTTTAGTGGCTTAACAAGATCCTGGATGTTTATACCGGCCCCATTATTATTATTATACAGGATTTATATAGCGCCAACAGTTTGCTCAGCGCTAAACATTATAATGGTAGACAGTACACGAGACAGTAACAATACAATTCAATACACAAGGGGTTCGAGGGCCCTGCTCCTTGGAGCTTACAATCTAGGATATGGTGATAAGTGTGGCTGACTATGTCACCAGCTAGAATAGGTCTATAACAGAGGATGAGTCCACTGGATCAGGGAAATGACTGAAAGTTGAGTCTCCTGCATTTTGATGGATGTCTCATTTCTTTTGGACATTTTGATATTATTTGAAAGTGGAAAAGAACACAACACATTTTGAACTGTTTGGACACTTTTATTTTTGTATTGTGTGAAGTGGAGAAACAGCTTTAATTTATATGTGAATATTGACGTTGCACAATAAGAAGTATTCATGTTTTTGTGCTATGGTTTTAGCACACACTATTTGCACTGATCAACTATTGCCTTTAGAGCATTGTTCAGATAGATTTTATTAGTGCTGTATTACATATATCTATATATTTTTATGGTGGTTGATGAATTATTCAATTTTAGCATTAGCTGCTAATTTTTATTTGTTTTTTTATATATCTACATATTCTGCCTGATATAGGTTTCCGGGGAGTATATATAGATACACGTATACTGTACATACACAATGCTATTAATATCTGCCAGGGGGCAACACACAATAACGGGGCATACACAGACATACAGTACATCATAGAGCTATTTCATGGGATTTGAAATATAAAGGTGTCTTTACTATGTATTCTTTATCTGTAGATCTTGAAACTGACACATCTATTACAGTAGCACAGATGGGTTCTGAAGAGGTGCTGCTGGATGAGTATTTGCTGTCTTATATTCTGCGACATCCTATTGAAGTTTGGGTGTCTTGTGGAGAATCCTTTATATCACCACATGGTAAGAATTATTATTTAAATATAACATCCCAGTTTCCTAAAAGTGAATCCATGCTTCACCCTTACAGCACAAAACTACAGGTTTGGTTTCATGATGCACCAGAAGCTGATGATATTTCCTATTACTCCCATTCAGTCTCTGGATGCAAGGTGGAGTTAGCCCTGTGTAAATGCTAAGTTATAACAAAGAACTTACACAGGGCTAATGACTTTCTTCCCGACCCGTTATGAAAGTATAGGTGACTGAGTGGACAGTTGTCAAAAAAGAGGGCCGGGACAAAGTCATTCAGCTCCAGGGGCAAAGATGCCAAACTGTATCCCCGGTTCATGATGCACAAGCTTAGGGGATCCTACACCCAGCAGTTAGTAGTTTGTCAAATTCACTTCCACTGTCACTACTCCTGTCAGCAGGGGTGTAGATAAGGGGGGAGTCAGGGGGGTCTGAACCCCCCCCCCCCCCCCAAGGAGAGTTGCCAACTATCCCTGTCCCTGCAGGCTGCAGCCCTCAAAATTTCTATTCGCTAGCGAGTGAAAATAAGGCGGAGCCAGCGAGCAGCGCCGAGACTAGGGGTGTGTGGAAGGGGGTGGCGGTGGTTGCAGTGACAAGAAGCGCTCTCCTGTATGCAGCTGAAAGCCGCATGAGGGAGAGAGGAGAAACGGCTTCCAGCAGCTTAATTGAAAGCCATACAGATTTCTTTTCCCTGTTGGAGCAAATTGGACCATGCTTTGTAAGAGTATTTTCCCTTCCTCTGGATTTACTGTGGGTATAGGTTTCTGTATAGGCAAGCTTTATTGGTTGAACTTGATGGTATTTTGTCTTTTTTCAACCTAACTGACTATAGTTACATAGTTAGTCGACTGAAACAAGAAAATGTCCTTCCAGTTCAACCATTAACAAAAAAAAAGTTATAATCCTATACCCACAGTTGATCAAGAGGAAGGCAAAAAACCCAGCAAAGCGTGATATAATTTGCTCCTGCAGAGGAAAAAATTCCTTTCTGATCCCCCGAGAGGCAATCGGATATTCCCTGGATCAACTTTACCTATAAATGTTAGTATCCAGTTATATTCTGTGTATCTAGGAAAGAATCCAGGACTTTTTTAAAGCAATCCACTGAGCTGGCCAGAACCAACTCTTGAGGGAGTCTATTCCACATTTTCACAGCTCTCACTGGGAAGAAACCTTTCCATGTTTGGAGATTTAATTTATTTTCCTCCAGACGTAAATAGTGCCCCCTTGTCCTCTGTGATGACCTCAGGGTGAATAGCTCTACACCGAGTTCACTATATGAACCACTGATGTATTTATACATGTTGATCATATCCCCCCTTATGTATTATACATAAGATCATGTCCCCCCTTATGTATTATACATGGAGATCATATCCCCCCTTAATCTCCTCTTCTCAAGAGAGAATAAATTCAGTTCCTCTAATCTTTCCTCATAGCTGAGCTCCTCCATGCCTCTTATCAGTTTGGTTGCCCTTCTCTGTACTTTCTCCAGTTCCCCAATGTTCTTTTTGTGAATTGGTGCCCAAAACTGAACTGCATATTCCAGATGAGGTCTTACTAATGATTTGTACCGGGGGAAATGATATCTCTCTCTCTGGAGTCTATACCTCTTTTAATACAAGAGAGGATTTTGCTCGCTTTAGAAACCGCAGCTTGGCATTGCATGCCATTATTAAGCCTGTGATCTACCAGAACACCCAAATCCTTCTCCACCATTGATTCCCCCAGTTGTACCCCCCTAGTATGTAGGATGCATGTTACTTTGTACCTATGTTACCTGACTTACCAGTGCCCGCCGCCACCCCCTTCTGAAGTGACCATTGATGGACCAAAGAATGAATCTTAATAATTCACAATAAAAGGTTCCTACCTCTACATGTGTATAAAGCGATTTTTGTACCTAAACGTTTAAATGTAGAGGGTTTAATGTAAATGTGAAGAATAATTTGTGTTCCCAATGTAGCTGTGCAACGATCAGAAAGACAAGAGAAAAGACATTGGTTACAGAAGAAGGAGATTGTGATTGGTCGCAGCTTGATGAAACACAAAATGAGACACTTACAAGGTAATTCTGAAGTGGAAGGTAATGGCGGGTATCTCATGGCGACTCTGTTACCCAGGACGTTTACTTTGGAAAGTGAAAATGGAACATAGAATTTGTAAAAAAATATTTGGTTAATCAGAGTATTCTCTCCCACAAGCCAGCAATAAGTATATACATTTACCAACCACTCTATTAGGTACACCTTGCTAGTGCCAAGAAAATACCAAGAAAATATGCACCACCAGCACCAGCCTGAACTGTTGATACAAGGCAGAATGGATCCATGCTTATATGTTGTTTATGCAAAATTCTGACCCAACCATCTGAATGTCGCAGCAATCAGTTTGCTCATTCTCCTCTGACCTCTGACATCAGCAAGGCGGTTTTGTCCACACAACTGCCGCTCACTGGATATTTTCTCTTTTCCAGACCATTCTCTATAAACCCTAGAGATGGTTTTGCGTGAAAATCCCAGTAGATTTTTGAAATACTCAGACCAGCCCATCTGGCACCAACAACCATGCCACGTTCAAAGTCACTTAAATCCACTTTCTTCTCCATTCTGATGCTCAGTTTAAACTTCAGCATGTCTAGATGCCTAAATGCATTGAGCTGATTAGTATTTTGTGTTACCAAGCAATTGAACAAGTGTACCTAATAAAGTGGCCGGTGAGTGTATGTCGGTTGTGCAGATCCAAGTCTAAGAAAACCTCTTCTGAGAGATACATGTCATCTGCTATTGCTGCCATCTAAAAATGCTAGTTGCTTGGCTAATACCATGATGTAGGCTGTCATGTTCATTTAATAGTGTATGACAGTCTTCTAGATTTAAAATGCACAGTAAAATTTTTCATGTAACATTGAACATTTTGTGATTGGTCGTTAGTTCGAATCCCATCCATAGCACTACCTGCCTGGAGTTTGCATACTCTCCCTGTGCCTGCATGGGTTTCCTCCAGGTACTCCAGGACCCAACATGTCATGGTTTTATTCAAAGTAAAAAAGTAACTCACACGTGTTCAGAAGTGTTTGCAGGATTTAAGGTAAAGCTAAAATCACAGCAAATAGTATTCTTGGTTATAAAGGAGTTACAGCATCTCCAAAGGCAACGGAAAATATCCATTGTAAGCATGTTCTCCCTGTGCCTGCATGGGTTTCCTCCAGGTACTCTGGTTTGCACACTCCAAAGACATGCTGGTAGGTTAATTGGCTCCTGTCTAAATTGGCCCTAGTATGTGTATGAATGTGAGTTAGGGACCTTAGATTGGACACCCCTTGAGGGTTAGGGACTGATGTGAATGTACAATATATATGTAAAGTGCTGCGTAAATTGATGGCGCTATATAAGTACCTGAAATAAATAATAACAAGTGAGTTTTATTAACCACTTTACATCCAATCATTGTAAGTAAACAGCTAGGTGGCACCCTTACTAGGTGGACATACTGTAACAGTGCTAAGCTCTGCCACTGTGTGAGCCTATGGTAGGTTAATTGGCTCCTATGTAAATTGGCCCTAGTATGTGTATGTATAATTTTAAGTTAGGCATCTTAGATTGCAAGCTCCTTGAGGGCAGGGACTGATGTGGATATACAATATACAAAATATATGGAAAGTGCTGTGTAAATTGTCAGCAGTATATAAGTACCTGTAATAATAATGCGATTTGCATGCCGTGTGACTTGCAAATCGTATGCCAAGTTGCACCCTATTGTCCGCTATTAGAGCGGTCAAATCTGTGCTGTTCTGACTTTGTACATGCACTACTTTTGGTGCGATTTGCATAGACATCTGTGTCAGATAGCTTGCAAATCGCACCTGATATCGTCATGTCCCCCGACTTTAAAATTGTGCAAATTCACTGTAAGTCGCACGATTTCAAAGTCGGGCTTGATGTAACCGGGGAGCTAATAACTCAAACAAAAAGTGTGATGTGTTGTATGAACACAGGGTGTCACTGTTTCACTGTTTACCATATTCATGATTCTTTGCAGTAAAGTGTTCTGCCAGTTCAGATGAGTGTTCTAAGAGATCATTTCACTGTAAAATGTATGTAAACCCAAAATCTATGTTTAAGCGTGTTCAGCATCATGCTATATACAGACTTTTTTTAAAAAATGGTATAAAGCCTTACACTTTTTACCTTGCTTACATTTATATAAACTAGTTGAGCATAGGAAAATAAATCTTACGTTAGCCAGTGCATTCAGAAAGTATTCAGACCCCCTTCACTTTTTTGTTATGTTGTAGCCTGATACATCAGTTGTTTAAATTCATTTGTTTTCTCATTATTTTACATTCAGTACCCCGTAATGACAAAGTGAAAACAGAAATTTAGAAATTTGTGCAAATGTATGAAAAAGAAAAAACTGAAATATCACATTGGCCTAAGTATGCAGACCCTTTGTAACAACACTTGAAACTTAGCTCAGGTGCCTCCCATTTCTCTTGATAGTTACTGAGATGGTTCTGCAGCTTGATTGGAGTCTACCTGTGGTAAATGAAACTGACTGGACATAATCTGGAAAGGCACACGACTCTCTTTAAGAGGCCTCACAGTTGACAATGCATACTGTATCCGAGCAAAAGCCCATGAGGTCAAAAGAACTGCCTGCACAGCTCAGAGACAGAATTATTGCAAGACACAGATCTGGGGATGGCTACAATACAATTTCTGCTGCACTGAAGGTTCTCAAGAGCACAGTGGCCTCCATAGTTGTCAAATGGAAGACATTTGGCACAACCAGGACTCTTCCAAGAGCTGTCACCCAGCCAAACTGAACAAGGAGGAGAAGGGCCTTAGTAAGATAGGTGACCAAGAACCTGATGGTCACTCTGACTGAGCTCCAGAGATCCTGTGTGAAGATGGGACAGAGTTCCAGAAGGACAACCATCGCTGCAGCCCTCCACTGATCTGGGCTTTATGGCAGAGTGGCTAGATAGAAATCTCTCCTCAGTGCAAAACACATGAAAGCCCACTTGGAGTTTGCAAAAAAGCATCTGAAGGACTCTTAGACTGTGGGAAACAAGATTCTCCAGTCTGATGAAACCAAGATTGAACTGTTTGGCCTCAGCTCTAAACGTTATGTGTGGAGGAAACCAGGCACCACTTATCACCTGCCCAATACCATCCCAACAGTGAAGAATGGCGGTGGCACCGCCATGCTGTGGGGGTGTTTTTTAAGCAGCAGGGACTGGGAAACTGGTCAGGGTTGAAAAGCTGAATGGAGCAAAGTATAGAGATTTTCTCAGTGAAAACCTATTCCACAGCGATTAGGACCTCAGACTGGGCCAAAGGTTCAGAGTGGCTTAGGGACAGCTGTGTGAATGTCCTGGACTGGCCCAGCCAGAGCCCTGACTTGAACCCTATTGAACATCTTTGGAAGGACCTGAAAATGGTTGTCCACCTACAGTCCCCATCCTACTTGATGAGCTTGAGAGGATTTGCAAAGAATAATGGCATAAAATTCCCCAATCTAGGTGTGCAAAGCTTGTTGTGTTATACCCAAAAGAACTCTAGGCTGTAATTGCTGCCAAGGTGCTTCAACAAAGTAAAAGGTCTGTGATATTTCAGTTTTTTCTTTTAAATAAATTCACAGACATTTCTAAAGTTCTTTTTTACCTTTGTCATTATGGGGTACTGAGTGTAGGTTAATGCAAAAAAAAATGAATTTAAACAACTGTAGTATCAGGTTGCAACAAAACAAAATTGAAAAAAATGAAGGGGGTCTGAATAGGTTATGAATGCACTGTAGATGTCCAAAAATATTTTCATGGTTTTTGTTCACCATCACAACCTTTGGTTTTCTGTGCATCATTTCCCCAAATGTCAGATCAGGAAGCATACACTCATCGCTTAACCTCCCTGGAGGTATTCCTGAGTGTAGCTCGGGGTAAAGTTTCAGCACCACATGCAGTAACCCCCAACTACACTCAGGAATACCCTGCGGCGCTGCTCCGGGATCTCTTCTTCACTTACCTTGTCCTTGCCGATGCTGGCATCCGTCTTCCAGGTTCCGTTCCCTGTGACGTCAGGACGTACGGGGACGGAACGGCGGGAAATTTAAAAATGTGAAAAAGTGACATTCACTAAATACACTAAAATCACATAGTATAACATTACTGTATCAAACCATTTCACATACATTTTGTCACGAGTGCTTTGTCCTGTGCCCTGCCTGCATTATTACTGTTCTTTCTGCCTGCAAACTGAGAAAAATCCATGGCGTCCAAAAAGTGTCCCTTTAGGTCAAAAGCGGGTTTAGACCAGCTAGAGAACAGCGATAGTAAATTAGAACCACTTGCAGAATTGAGTGATAATGATTTGTGGGGAAATTCGTCATCAGACACTGAAAACAATTTTGCTACTTTACTCAGTGATGTGCGAACTTGGCGCTATATTTCAAATTTCAGTGTTTTTGGTTTGATTATATTATTGAATTAAATTTATTATTATATTATTATTTTTTATGATTATTTATTAAATTACAATTTATGATTTTGCGTTTCAAAAATTTTATCATACCCGGGATGTTTACTAGACTTGTTCGGACAGATTTCAGTGAGTTATTCCTAAAAATTACAGGCCTACAATAAAAAAAAATACAATCCCCCCATTCCCCCTCCTTGGGGCTACATGTCCTATAATTCCACCTCCACTACAGCCACTGCACATGCATGCCCCATCCGGCTTCCCACACCTACGCACTCACACAGCCTGTAGATCTCCAGTAAGACCTGGATACAGGATTGAATGCTTTGTCCCACCCAAGACACTTTGAGGTCTTCAAGCTCCAGACCCCAATCCGGGATTACGAAACCCGGAGAAAACTGAGTACCCAGTTTCCTCAGCTCAAAGACACTATTCCGGAGCCCCACTCTCTTTATTAGTGTAAACCCTGTGTCGCTTTTCCATAGGCTTACACAGTGGCAGGGCTTAGCACTGTTACAGTATGTCCACCTAGTAAGGGTGCCACCTAGCTGTTTACTTACAATGATTGGATATAAAGTGGTTAATAAAACTCACTTGTTATTATTTATTTCAGGTACGAACCTCTTTGAATTATAGCTTAGGTGTCTTCTCTTATGAGTCTTAGAGGAAAACCCCCACTATTTGCAGGTGAAGGAGTTGTCACCTTCTCTATGGATTTTAACCACTAGCCTACAGGGCACTTATACCCCCTGGTATACCCTGATTGGACACAGCTGATTACATGACCAAGCTGACATCTTCGGCTCTTTCCGTGATTGGTGATCCGCTGTGTCCTAGGGACACAGCGCATCGCCGATCGCCGCGCTGCACGCTCCCTGAGCCGCGCATGCGCAGTGAGACTGGGAGGATGTCATATGACATCCTCCCAGAACGAGAGAACCACCTTGCGCCCGTCATATTACTATATGGCGGGTGGGAGGTGGTTAATATAGTTTACAACTCAATGTACTTATGCCTGCACTATGAATTTATTTATTTTATTTATTTCAGGTACTTATATAGCGCCATTAATTTACGCAGCGCTTTACATACGTATATATTGTACATTCACATCAGTCCCTGACCCTCAAGGGGTGTACAATCTAAGGTCCCTAACTCACATTCATACATACACATACTAGGGACAATTTAGACAGGATACAATTAACCTAACAGCATTTCTTTGGAGTGTGGAAACCAGAGTACCTGGAGGAAACCCATGCAGGCACAGGGAGAACATGCTTACAATGAATATTTTCTGTTGCCTTTGGAGATGCTGTAACTCCTTTATAACCAAGAATACTTTTTGCTGTGATTTTAGCTTTACCTTAAATCCTCCAAACACTACTAAACATGTGTGAGTTACTTTTTTACTTTGGTTAAAACCATGACATGTTGGGTTTGTACTACTCGTTGTGTTAGCAATGAACAATGTAGGTGAACACTTCTCTAAAAGTTGTGTACTTTTTTGTGGGTTGTGTAGGGTTTTTACTGCTATCCAAGGCACAGTTAGAGAGAATGCCCCTCAAATACTGTCCCAGTCACAATGATTTCACCAGATAGCAAGTGAAAATTTCCAACAGCAACACAAACAGAAATAAAAATGTATTTTTTTTTATTATTTACTTTTTATTGATTTTCAAAATGCTTACAACAAACAGTTGCATAAATCATGAAATAAACAATAAAGAACAAAGAAAAAGGCTCATCGATGAGAGGTATATAGGTACATACAATGTCAGTACATAACAGTGAATTAGCCATCGTTTTCAGACATTTGAGTAGGTAAATCAGAAATGAAAAGATCCCACGGTTCCCAAACTGCCTCAAAGATGGGGACAGAGTTAGCATGCAAAGCAGTGAGATACTCCATTCCTCTAATCTCGGCTATAACCTTCACCAATTCCGATCGTGTAGGAGTCGTAATAGAAAGCCAATGCATGTTAATGGTTCTCCTGGCCACTGTTAAAACATGGGAGGATAGTTTCCTGGCAAATTTGGAGAGGTCTGAAAAAGGTAGGCCCAATAAAAAGTGGATGGGCTCAAATGCGACAGGAGCCTGCAAAAGTAGCTGCAAAAGGTTAAGGACCTCTCTCCAGAAGGGTGCAATGTGCTGGCAAGTCCAGAAAATGTGGAAGAGAGTGCCAGTTTCCTCGCCACATCACTAGCAGACAGGAGAAACACTCGGATTGCGAGCATGGAGAACCTCAGGGGTCTTATACCAAAACATCAGTATTTTATAAGTGTCTTTCTTTATATACTACACATATAGATCTGGAGGCAGCCTCCCAAATCCTACTCCACTGATCCAAGGCAATATCATATTGGAGGATTCGGGGCCATTTGTGCATATAAAGGTGTGTATCAATAGTATGGGCACAGGCGTCTTAAAGCAGCTTATAAGTAGAGGAAATTATGCCCCGCTGGTACGGACCCTGAATGCAGATGCATTCAAAGAGAGTAGGCTTCACATGGGTTAGAGAGGAGGTTTTAGAGGAAAAAAAGTAGCGTATCTGTAGATAAGGATGAGGAGACATACGAGTGGCTTTTTGAATCTCAGAAAATGATTTAAGCTTGCCAGAAAAATGTATCTTTTAATGAAGTAGGGAAAGGAGACCCCTGTCAGCTTTTTTTTTGCTTGGCAAGTAGAAGAAAGGTCTGAGACAAATCTCTTAAGGTAGTAGATGTTCTCAGTCAGGTATTAAGTAATGTAGAGGAAATGATTCTCCCTCGGCAGCTCTTCCGGGAGTGGTGGCCAAAGGCCAGCTCCTTGGTAGAGTAAGGAGTGGGTGTGAAAGAAGGAAAGCTTCAAAACCAGGGCATATATGAGTTGATTTACTAAAGCTAGAGAGTGCAAAATCTGGTGCAGCTCTGCATAGAAAGCTTAATTGAACAAGCTGAAGTTAGAAGCCAATTGGCTACCATGCACAGCTGTACCAGATTTTGTGCTCTCTAGTTTTAGTAAATCAACCCCATAACCCCATAAAGTCCAAGTTCAATCTTTTTCAATCTCTTACGTCATAACCAGCATCTTGAGCGATCATCAGGCTAATTACTCTTTCAGGATTCTTCTAGTGTTATCAGTCCAGTAAAAAAGTTTGCTCACCAGTACCAAGCCCTGATGAAGATAACCCTTTGAAACCCTGGAGTGTGTTAGCTTTTATGATATAGACATCTGAATAAAATTGAATCTAGATTGTATACGTTCTGCTTTTGGTGCTTCCTTTCTTGCAAACCAAGCTTTTATTGTACCTGTTGACAGGGGCAGACTGACAACTCATGGGGCCCCCGGGAAATAGGGGATCATGGGGCCCCTGTGTCCTTGCCCAAACTCAAATAAGCCTATGAAAAAGGTACCAGGGGCATCTCATGGGGCCCCCTACAGACCCCGGGCCCTCGGCAGTTTCCAAATGGTCAGTCCACCCCTGCCTGTTGATGATTTTCCCTCACTTGTTCTCTAGTAAACTGTCGTCATCATTGACAGTGAGTAAGGGGAAATGTCCCTAACAGAGCCACTGATTGCAGTGAAAACCTGACCAAAGTTCAAACCCTTCCATATTTTATCAAAAAAGTTTTGCCAGGACATACACTTTAATTATTGTCTTTTTTTTGTGTTGTTGGCAGCTCGACGTGTGACTGCTCTTGCCCCTCCCGCCATGGTGCCCACTACCAATCCCACCCAGCCTGTGTCTGTAGAAGGTGGCTGGTCTGAAGTCACTGACGAGGAGCTAAGACTGAAGGAAGAACTGGAGAATGTGGAGGTGACATTGAATTATACTCTTTGTTTTTATATCTAAAATGGCTACGTGCATGCCTGCATACAGAAAGTTTGGTGTGCTTTCAGAAAACGCACCAAAACCGCCTGATCTAATGCATGCAGGACCGCATGCAGTGGACTTTCTGTGTTCAGGGCATATGTCCCTGTATGCATACAGCCCTTACATGAGTACCGCTCAGAACAGTGTATATTTCAGCCCATTCATGATTTTGACAGGCTGCAGGTTGTACACTGGACTTGTGCCTCCTGGGCGCCCCAAAATGCTGTTTTTTTATGTTGTACAAGCCAAATAGCCAATGCACAAGAGCCCTAAAGTACAGTATATATTTACTTATGTCTAGATAGTAGTAGTTAGTCACATTCAACTAGATTTGTTCTTTAAATAATGGGCAGCACAGTGGCTAAATGGTTTGCACTTCCGCCTGGTAGTGTCGAATCTCTAGTTCGAATCCCAGCCACGGTACCATCTGCCTGGAGTTTGCATGTTCTCCCTGTGCCTGTGTGGGTTTCCTCCCACACTCCAAAGACATGCTGGTAGGTGAATTGGCTCCTGTCTAAATTGTCCCTAGTATGTGTATGTATGAATGTGAGTTAGGGACCTTAGATTGTACACCCCTTAAGGGTTAGGGACTGATGTGAATACAATATATATGTAAAGCGCTGCGTAAATTGACGGCACTATAGAAGTACCTGAAATAAATAATGTTTTGTAGTTTTTCCAAGAACTTCTTCTGTCTAGTAAGTGTCAGGAACATACTCCAGCACAGGGGCGGACTGACAACTCATGGGGCCCCCGGGCAATAGGGGATCATGCAGCCCCTGTGTCCTTGCCCAAACTCAAAAAGCCTATGAGAAATGTACCAGGGGCATCTCATGGGGCCCCTTACTGACCCCAGGTCCTTGGGCAGTGCCCGAGTTTCCATATGGTTAGTCCGCCCCTGCTCCAGCATTTATAGCCATACAGTTAGTACAGACACCTTAATCCAAAAATATTTGTAACTACATATACTGTAGAATATAGGAAAGCAAAGTGACTCATGCAGCCGGAGGGACCAGGAATGTCCTGGTATGTGTATGCAAAAAACAAAGCACACATAACTAAGGGGCAAAGAACTCAGAGGAGAAATGACTGGCAAAGCTTGGAAGTAAAAATGACACTAAGGCCCCTTTCACACGGGCGGTTAGATTTCAGCTTTTAGCTGCGTTTAGAGGAACTTGCTTACCGCAGCTAAATGCAGACAATGAATCCCTATGGGTCTGTTCACACACTGGGTTTAGCAACGTTTTCATAACGTTTTATGCAGGAAAAATAAAATTGACTGCGTCCAGAAGTGATGTACTGCAGCTATCTGTACAAAAACACAGTTATTTGCAGTACAAAGAAAAAATAAGTAAACAGTTGCATTAGAAAAGGCAAGAATTTAACAGTTGCGTTTATTGAAATCGTAAAAAAGTATAACAAAGCAAGGTACATAGAAAAGGCAAGAATTTACTACCACAGCTAAACACAGTTGCATGTAAACGCACATAAACGCAGATAAACGCAATGTACAAACACAAGTGACCTCTGTACTAGGAGTGTTGGATTTGCAAAATAAAAAAACATGCTTTTACAAGCGGCAGAACAACCTCCCGTGTGAAAGACGCCTTACTCCGCTCACTGCAACAGTGCTGACAGTTCTGGGAAACCGATCACTGTAGTGGTGGATCCCTGGAGATTGCTGGTAGCTGACAGCTCCCTGTGGTCAGCAGAGGCTGTCAGTACAGGCTGGTGATGAGAAATGTTTTGTTCAGGCTGTGGTGGAACTACAAGGCAAGGAAGAAAGAAGTGATCTGTACTGGCCTTTTGGAGTAAGCAGATTAATGCCCCTCGTCTTGCCCTCCCCCCCCCGGCTACCTAGAAAAATTGTTATTGGTGATGCTTGGGTATTACCCCTGCTATGTGGAATGATCTTACTCCGCAAGGCCAGCGCAGATCGCTTCTTTCTCTCCCTGCTGTCTGGTTCCACCATAGGACTGCTGTCCAACCAGTCTCATCACCAGCCCGTACAGTGATCAGTGTAAAAAAACTGTCAGCATTATTGCAATAACTGGAGTAAGTGTCATTTCTACTTTTTAAATTTAAAGGATAAGTTCACCTTTTAGCAAAAAATAATAGATGCACATTTTTTGGCAGGTAACAAAATGTGCAGGGGCGTCCCTAGGGTTGGTGTTACCCGGTGCGATAACACCTGGTGACACCCCCTCTGACAATCGTGTCCCCCAGTATAGGTTGCATGCCGATGATCCCCGCAGAATGGATCGGATCTGCGGATTGAGCATAATGGATCGGAGTCCGATCCATTATGCTCCCCAATCCCCAGATCCCATCCATCCTGCGGGGATCATCGGCATGCAACCTATACTGGGGGACACCAGACCCGCTCCACGAAATGGTAAGTTATAAAGCAAGCTGACGATCCCCTCACGATGGATCGGATCTTCACATTGCAGAGCATAATGGACCGGACTCTGATCCATTATGCTCAATCCGCAGATCTGATTCATCCTGCGGGGATCGCCGGTTTGCTTTACAACTTACCTTTTTGTGGAGCGGGTCTGGTGTCCCCCAGTATAGGTTGTATGCCGATGATCCCCGCAGGATGGATGGGATCTGGGGATTGGGGAGCATAATGGATCGGACTCCGATCCATTATGCTCAATCCGCAGATCCCATACATTCCGGTGTCACCTTGTGCGGTAGGTGTCACCCGGTGCGGTGCGCACCCCCCCCACCTGCCTAGGGACACCACTAAAAATGTGCATTTATTATTATTCGTTTTGGGAGCCTGTAAAGCATTGCACCATTGATTAGCAGATGGCGAATTTATCCTTTAACCAGTCATTTGTCCTTTGGGTTGTTTGCACCTGAATAATATCTGCTTTAATCCAATCACAATGGAATGTGTGAAAGCAACAACATGTACAAGAGAGTGATTGGCATAGCTGGACACTCATCCACAACCTTGCCTTCCGGGAGCTCAGAAACAGTGACACAATGGGAAAAGGTAAGGAAATAAGCAGAGGCTGTTGTGCCAAATTACATACCGACCAGTATGATATGGTAGTATGTCAAAAGAAGGGGCAACAGCTTGACCATGCTAGACTGTACTAGGCTCTTAAGCTTTAGGAATTGCCACTATCCATTTTCTTTAAGCCACCTGTCCCTTGTGTGTGGTACCACCAGTTTGTTCCCTCTATATACAGTAGGTCATCCTGTTAGCGCTAGTGTTTCTGATATTATAAGTTAGCCAGAGATGAATTTCCATCACTGTTGCCTGTAGGTATGCAATTTATGGTGAACCAAACAATACCACTCTACTAAAATATCCTTTTGTACACAGAACTTTTTCTTATATTTCTGGTATTTCCTTAGCTTAGAACAGTGGTCCCCAAACTGCAGTCCAGGGGCCAGATGAGGTCCTTTGCCTGCCGTTATGGAGTCCTTGGGGAACTATTCTTCCCACTGACACCAACAATGGGGTACTATTTCTTCCATTGACACCAATGACAGGACCCTATTCTCCCCACTGACACCAATGACAGGACACTATTCCCCCCACTGACACTAATGATGGGGCACTGTTTAATCCAACTGATTCCAGGACATTTTCTACTCCCATTGCCCCCTGAAGTCCGAAGGACAGAAAATTAACTCTTTGTTTAGAAAATTTAGAGATTCCTGGCTTAGAATAATGTCACCATGTAGAAACAAACTTATATGAAATTAAAGTATTTCTACTCAGGGAAAGAATATGTAAGGATATGCCTGCTCCGGCTATAGGCACATGTCTGCTGTGCCTAATGTTAAATGCAGCCCAGAGGTCACTCACATGGAAGAAAAATTTATCTGAAATATATTTAAAAAATATTCTTCCCAATTATATTGTCATATAAAATCGGAAGAATATATTTAAATACTATATATTTTTAAAAATATATTTTTTAGATATATTGTTCAGATTTTTTTAACATATAAAAAAAGTAATTTTAACATATATTTTTACATATATTTGTAAATGCATACCAAAAATGTAGATTTGTATTTTCAAAGACATACAGTATATTTGAAATTTCATATATTTTGCAATAAAAACACATTTCAACATGTAGTGTGTGTGTATATATATATATATATATATATATATATATATATATATATATATACATATAAAATTAAAATTGTAGCATTTCAAATATATGGCAATATATTTGGGAAGAATATTTTTAAAATATATTTCAAATATATTTTTCTTGCATATGGGCAGCGATGGCATACAGCATTTTGCAATACATTATGGCCCTATGTAAAATAGGTTACCTGGCTTTAAACAGTATCCTGCCTTTTTATAAGACCAGAGTTGTCCTCCAAGTAACATTCATCTGCTGCAGTAATTAATAACTCATATTTAAAATACAGGATTTCTGCAATTTATTTTCTTATAAATGCCCAATAAAACTATATGACCATTTAATTTATGGAAGGTTTGGGTTTTGGTATTTTTTCTTCTGTGCAATAACTATGAAAGTAATTTTGAAAACAAGAAAACGATAATCTCCTTGAACCAATTATAAAAGTAAAAGGTTTTCAGTGTGAGCAATAACAGAAGTCGGAATGTGAGGACATTTCTCACACCATTTTATTTTATTCCTTCTGATATATTACATTTTTGCTTTCTGCTTTCCATCCTTCTAATCTGAGATCTGAGCCAAGCAGAAGACTCTTCTCTTATAAAGATTTATTATCAGTGATGTTATCCTCCTGCTGTTTTACTTTTTGAGTTACTCCTAATAAAAAGCTTAAAGCCTACACAGCCTGTGTGCTCCTTCCCTAGATGCGGCTCTCTGATAGTCAGGCTTCCCGTGTGAAGGTTCATCCTGCAGTAGCAAACAGCGAGAAATCCCTGTACACCTTTCCCACCATGAAGCGAGTCCTGGCTTACAGGAATGGGGGCAATTCAGAGCAAGCTGTATATGTTTGGGGCAAATCTCTGGAAGAGGTAAGATTTGCACATCAGTTAAGATCCAACACTGTCAACTGCTCTGTGAGTTACTTTTACCATGGCTTCTTCCAAATGGCAGATTATATATGTTGAACGTGTTAGCTGTACATAAATGCTACTTCTCCCCAGTCCCATGGCTGATTTGGTCCTACAGAATATTGTATGATTTTTTTTTTTCATAAATAATAAAGCAACCCAGTTAGGACATGTGTGGGGATATCATTGCGAACCTCTTATGAAAATGCTAGTAGCTTGGGTGCTATATTAACCACCTGGCTGCAGGTTTTGAGTCACAGACCCAGAACAAGTAGAGAGTTAAGAAGAGTCAGAATTCCCTATCTGCATACTTGTGGTGAGTCAGTGACTTAGTAATGAACCCAATGAAATAGCATGACAGCATCTAACGCTTTTAGAAGAGGACTGCAGTGGCATTCCAAATGTTTCTTTTTTTATTGACAGAGTAGGTAGAAAGTCTTGGAATACATAAACTAACTTGGATCTTACTGTAGAAGAGTCTATAGTCTATAGAACGATATCTCTGGTTAGGCATCTCTAATGTACAAACGGTCAACGTTTGGCCACTTCAGACTGGATAGAAAGATGCCAGTGATCACAGGAGTGCCACACTGTTTGTTTGAAGTCCAAGATATACAAATAATTATTTTTTATCTGATATAAGCCAACACGTTTCCACGACTTCAGAATTTCCCCTTCATCTGGGCTTTAATGGTTGAGGTGGGAAACATTGGACTCGATGTGGTTAAAGAGGTAACTGAAACAATGCAGACACATGCAATTATGGATACAGATTCAAGAAGCAGCAGATGTTTGTTGAAGCAATCAGTCCAATTTCTCCCTTCTCCATCAACCATTAAAATCCTGATGAAGGGGACCCTCTAAAGCCTTCAGAATGCATTGACCCCCTAAATAGCTGCTGGTGAATTTGGTCCTATTTTCCCCTTAGAGCACACACAGCCAGGCACACATCTTTTCCTGCATTCTTCCACTGACTTTAAAGAACAGTCTAGGGCAGCAATGGGCAAACTACGGCCCGCGGGCCGTATACGGCCCGGCGGACCTTTTAATCCGGCCCGCGGAGCGTGCTAAAAAAAAACACAGCCAGGGCAGGCAAACATTGGCTGTCAGGATGTGTGTAGGCGGGGCAGTGTGACGAACGTGAAGGGAGCTAGGCTCCTCTCACAGTCCGCCCTGAAGACCGGAACGGCGCGGGAACACGGCGAGAGGAACGCGCGGAGCAAAGGTAAGTGAATTGACACAGGGGGGACTTGGCTTACTACTTGGGGGGGAATAGTACTATGGGGGATGAAATACTATATAAGGGATGAATTAATATGGGGGATGAATTACTATAGGGGGGATGAATTACTATGGGGGATTAATTACTATATGGGGGATGAATTACTATATGGGGGATGAATTACTATAGGGGGGATGAATTACTATGGGGGATGAATTACTATATGGGGGATGAATTACTATATGGGGGATGAATTACTATATGGGGGATTAATTACTATGGGGGATGAATTACTATGGGGGATGAATTACTATGGGGGATGAATTACTATATGGGGGATTAATTACTATATGGGGGATTAATTACTATATGGGGGATTAATTACTATGGGGGATGAATTACTATATGGGGGATGAATTACTATGGGGGATTAATTACTATATGGGGGATTAATTACTATGGGGGATGAATTACTATGGGGGATGAATTACTATATGGGGGATTAATTACTATGGGGGATGAATTACTATATGGGGGATGAATTACTATGGGGGATGAATTACTATGGGGGATGAATTACTATATGGGGGATGATAATTACTATGGGGGATGAATTACTATATGGGGAATTAATTACTATGGGGGATGAATTACTATGGGGGATGAATTACTATGGGGAATGAATTACTATATGGGGGATGAATTACTATGGGGGATGAATTACTATGGGGGATTAATTACTATGGGGGATGAATTACTATATGGGGGATGAATTACTATGGGGGATGAATTACTATCTACTCATGGTCTGGCCCCCGGGTCCAATATATGAAATTACCATATGCGGCCCTCAAGTCAAAAAGTTTGGTCTAGGGGTTTTGTTTTTTTTGAATTACATATAGGGAGCATGACATACCCTGGTAAATAGAACTGAACAACTTGAGAACTCCTCACTTCTGGGCTGCACTGTACAAAACAAATCAAGTTCCCACCAACTATATGGCTCTCTCCAGTAAGTTTATCCAGACCCAATTGACCCCAGAACTTGAACTTGCAAATAGGTATCCTAGCTAAGCCTAGCTAAGATCTCAGTGTCTTCCTAAAAGCTTCTTCTAAGGTCACACACAGGGGTCTCCTCCTGCAGGATTGCACCCAGGAACACTGCTCCTGCTGCTCAGGCCTCAGACTATTTATGAGCTCTCTTACCACCTGCCGGGCACACCTTCCTAGGGATTGGCCAGAGTTCCATACATTTTCAGGCTGAATGCCCTGTTCTTCTTCCCACTGTGGTTATGGAATCCTCTAGAAGACAGGGGGGAGCAACAGAACAGTAACCTGTGAAACACCGAGCAAGTCTAATTAATCAACCCTGCTCCTCTGATTATAGCGAAGCCAAAGTAAATGTACCTAACATTCTCCTCTACACTAGGAGGGTGCTATACTTATATGAAAAATGATCATGTCTTGGACTCCTAACAGTGTAGCACTCCTGTGTTCTAATGTTTCTTTTGTGAGTTTCTCCTTGCAAGATGCTAAACTAGACATATAAAAGATTGTTCATATACTGGAAAATTGAAACAATTTACCAATTTTGAAATGGACTGCTTTAGAAATTATTTATGGATTGGTAGTAAAGTGCACCAGCCGAGGTACAAAATGAAGTCTTTTGAATCTTGAGTAACTAGCCAGGGTGAAATGGTAAGAATTAATGCAGTGTTTTTCTTTGTTGCACTCTAGTTACTGGACGATTGCACTTTAAAGCTAAGTATGCAACATCTGCCAGCAGCGGTATTGTATAATGACAATGGTGAATTGGTGACATCTTGGAATGACATCAAGAAGGACATGGTTGTGTGTGTATCCGCAGGAGAGCCATTTTTAACCAAAAAAAGTAAGACATTCTGATTAGCTTCTTCACTTGAACAGGTTAGGTTCCGCAGTCTTACTACCCACTGAATGCATTAGCAGTGATACGTTTTTGCTGCAGCACAAAGCAAAGCATCACTTCAGGTATAGCATTTAAACTCCCCTGTTTGCTGTTTGTTGGGGTTGCTAAAAAAACATGACTCAACCACACGTTTTTAATGCCCCCCAATCCCAAGTCTAAATGAGACCTGTAGGATTGAATAGTTAAAGAAGAAAAAAAAAAATGTATTCATGTGTATAAAATCTTGCATCCACACATGTAAAATGTGTACAATAACTTTCATTAGAAAGGTGTGTTACAAGAGAACACAAGTTCACACTGATATGGTGTGGAATTCGCAGAGTTTTCAGTGTGAATTCCGCACCGCATCACAATCGCACCCCGTTCATACAAACCGATGCAGGTGTGTATGTTAAGTTAGCAACACCCTGACATTGGCTCGCAAAACGTGGTGCGATGTGCAGAATCGGATCATATAGGTTTGAATACTTATGTGATCCAATACTTATGTGATCAATTCTAGTGCAGACCAAAAAAGGGTCCTGCCCCTTTTTGGTGCGGGTACGGTGTGAATAGATCACACCGCATACAAATCACATGTAATTTGTACAGGAATGCGGTGCGATTCCTGTGCGCATCACATGGGATTTTTACCGCACCGCTGTAGTGTGAACCTAAGCTAAAGGATATGTTCACCTTTTTCTCCCTGCACCCGCTCTCACAATGAAAAAAGCGCGGTTCCGCCCACACGGGCACGTCATTCATTCACAGACTTCTGTGAATTAGTGCCTACAAGTACCGTCAGCCCTTTCGGTGGTGAGCGTTCTCGTAGTCCATTGAGCTTCCTGTCATTCAGTAACTGCCTGCCTGTATTGGAGGTACGAGCAGACAGCTACACTAACAGTCTGCAGGAGCTGGACATTGCACCTGCGATCTGCCGATCTTCTACTGGGGTCAGACATCTGTCTTCGACCTCTGTGATGAGAAAATGCGAAGGAGCCGGATGGAAATTTTTTCTCAAACAAACAAATTTCTAACAGTGTATGTGGTTTTCATTTGGGAAATCACATTCATTCCCAAATGAAATGTTAAATGCAAAATATATTTTAGGTACTTTCAAATGATTTTTGTCCAGTCATTAAATGTACAAAGATTTTTTGTACAAACATTCATTTGAAAGTGTACTGGTAGTACCAGCTTTAGTCCATCCTTAGCCCACAGATAAATCCACCCAGCAATATACCCAGGCAGTTCCTTTATAGAAATGTGAAAAAACCTGCGCCAAAGAAATAAAACACAATCAAAGAATGCTGCTGCTCAAAAGATTAAATATAACCCATCAAGATATAAATAAAAATGAAAGGCAGCGCAAAAAATGTTATAAAAAAGAAAGTATAAACAAGTCCCAAATAAAAGTCTTGTGTTTCAAAAAAAACTTGCTACAAAAATTGTGATTCACATCATCTGCAGTAGTTCAAATTTTCACCCACACTCACCCAGTCAGGTGATTTCCCAGTTTGATAATAGCTTTAGGAATCAAAAACATTTTGGAGGTGGGATGGGATCTCCACAGTTGTATATCACTAAGCAAATCTTCAATATCTTCCTGAACAATTCCTCTCAGGTGGATGAAAAAAGAAAAAAAGGAAAAGAAAAAACAAATCGTGTAATACTGCATAAACTAAAAAACAGAACTAATGTTCATCATTACACTCACATTTCGAAAATTGATCACAAGCTTAAATGGACATGAAATCCTCCTAAGCGACCCCCAGCAATCCTTCTTTGGCGACCTGCAAACTCTTGCTCATGGACGAATGGTGGATGCAAAGAAAAAAAAGGGGGGAAGAACCAAATAGCGTGATACTGTATAAATCCTTTATTGTAAAAAATGAATGCCCATATCGCACTCACATTTTATGAGAATAAAACAAGCCTTTGGTAAATAAAACTCCTTTAGACAAGCAGAAAATCCACTCTGACACTTCCCAATAGTGGCATATACAATGATCACAGAGCATGGAAAGAAATGAACTGGCAGCAACAGGGAGATTTGTCTATCTTGCCCACATCAAATATGGGCGCGGAACGCAGCACCAGCGTGCGTTCCATTCGCCGGATGTGATGTTACACGTCGTGGATCGAAAACAGGAAATTATGTTGGAAAAACCGTGTTTCGCCCCTCCTCCAAGGCGTTGTCACGGACCGTTCCTTTATACTCTTTGTTGCCCCTGTAGCCTAAATGCCCTACTCTTTTGTGTAAGCACAGGAGCCCCATTAGTTTTTAATGGCATCCCTATGCCTTGGAAACATAGCGTGTTTTTGGGTGCATGAAACTGAAACTGAATGGTACAAAAGAACCACGTGCTTTCAGTGTGGCTGCAAATTTGAAAAGGTGCAGGGACCTTTTCCTTGTCTTTTCCTCCAGGTACAGCAGCACATTCAAATGAATAGGCTACTGTGCCCATGCCAACACGGCATGCAGAAAACGGTACAGTGTGAAATATTGGTAAAATGACATTGCATTATTTTTGCCTTTTAGCATGCAGAGACCAGATAAACATCCGAGCCAACTATGCAAGAATCAGGAGGAAGTATGGTCCTGGGGCCACAGATGTTATTATATCAACACCCGAAGTCTTCATACCCGTACCAAATAACATTTAATGCTGGGATGACACCGCTAATTGTAAGCTGAATATTTGCTTGCTCAAATTTTAGTGATCACTAACACAATATATTACCCAATAAAATTATATATTTTATTAATAAAACGTATTACACTGTTGGCATCACTCTTTCTTGATTTTGATAGCCCTGAGTTGTCTAAAGAGTTCTGAAGAAGTGAAGCTATCTTAGAAATACTTTATATCGCATCCTGAAGATTGGGAATAGCACGTAATGGCCTTTTTTCTGTTTAGGTCATCTGGTTTTGGTGAGCCACTTGGTGGCTGTCAGTGTCGCTTATCTGGGAGTGAAAAGCATGTTTCTCCTGATGCATCACCTATAGGAGGATATTGGAGTTGAAGATCATTACACCAATCACTTAATATGTGGAACTGATTGTTACTATTGACAATGATGAATGCACAATTATTCACTTACGATAAGGATGTGATAATTGACTGTTACAAGCAATTTTGCACTTTATTATACACAGCTTTATGCCCCTATTATTGTTAATTACTTCTTGGTTGTTTTTTATGATTATAAACTATCTATTATTGAACTATTAGTTATTGCTGCTTTTTTAGCATGGTGCACTATTTATGTCTCCGTCAGAATTCACAGATCAGTGCTTGCAGCCATTGGCTGCAAGTGCAGATGGAATGCTGGTTTTCCAGCATGACTGTTTGACAGCAGCTGGTCATTAGACTGACTTCTGTTGAACAAACAGCAGTCCACACTGACGGAAGATGGTCAGTTCCTGCTGAACCAGCCGACTTTCCATACGTGTATACCCAGCTTTAGGAAGCTTCTAAGGGCCAGTTTACACTACAAAAATGCACTCCGGATACGTTTTTTGCTTACAGTTCACACCACACTCCGTTCTGGTGCAGTTTTGATGCAGTTTGCCATGTTCCAGTATGGTTCTGTGCAGAAGAAATTCAGCATGTTCTATTTTTTTCTGCACCGGAAACTGCCTGGAACTGACTGCACTGGTGTGAACTAGGGCCACTGGAATACATGGAAAACATTGTGCATGCATTTTTGATGCAGAAAAAAAAAACGTACTGTACTGCATCTAGTGTTAACTAGCCTTAAAGCTTCCTCAGTAGAAGGGGTTACACCATAGTTTTGCCACTACTAAGACTACTAAGTCAGTCCTCTAAATCTTCCTCAATAGATGGGTTTACACTATAGTTTTGCCACTACTAGGATGACTAAATCAGTCTTCTAAATCTTCCTCAGTAGATGGGATTTACACCATAGTTTTGCCACTACTAAGACAAACTACTAAGTCAGTCCTCTAAATCTTCCTCAGTAGATGGAGTTACACCATAGTTTTGCCACTACTAAGTCAGTCCTCTAAATCTTCCTCAGTAGATGGGGGTTACATCATAGTTCTGCCACTACTAAGATGACTAAATCAGACCTCTAAATCTTCCTCAGTAGATGGAGTTACACCATAGTTTTGCCACTACTAAGTCAGTCCTCTAAATCTTCCTCAATAGATGGGTTTACACTAGTTTTGCCACTACTAGGATGACTAAATCAGTCTTCTAAATCTTCCTCAGTAGATGGGATTTATTCCATAGTTTTGCCACTACTAAGATGACTAAATCAGTCCTCTAAATCTTCCTCAGTAGATGTAGTTACACCATAGTTTTGCCACTACTAAGATGACTAAATCAGTCCTCTAAATCTTCCTCAGTAGATGGAGTTACACCATAGTTTTGCCACTACTAAGTCAGTCCTCTAAATTTTCCTCAGTAGATGGGGGTTACACCATAGTTTTGCCACTACTAAGATGACTAAATCAGTCCTCTAAATCTTCCTCAGTAGATGGGGTTACAACATAGTTTTGCCACTACTAAGTCAGTCCTCTAAATCTTCCTCAGTAGATGGAGTTACACCATAGTTTTGCCACTCCTAAGTCAGTCCTCTAAATCTTCCTCAGTAGATGGGGGTTACGCCATAGTTTTGCCACTACTAAGATGACTAAATCAGTCCTCTAAATCTTCCTCAGTAGATGGGGTTACACTATACTTTTGCCACTACTAAGTCAGTCCTCTAAATCTTCCTCAGTAGATGGGGTTACACTATAGGTTTGCCACGACTAAGTCAGTCCTCTAAATCTTCCTCAGTAGATGGGGTTACACTATAGGTTTGCCACTACTAAGTCAGTCCTCTAAATCTTCCTCCG